TCTTTCCCCCTTGTACAGCCCCCTTTGCTTCACTACACGTCGCGAATGCCTTACCAACGCCCGACGCGTCGTGGCGCGGCGTACCCAGCGATTTCCAGCCACTCCAAATCCTCTGCTCGAAAGGGGTTGCTTCTCATCAACAAAAACAATGCTCGTTTCTTTTCAGAATCAATTTTTCTATCTATAATTTTTTTTCACTCCATGTACGATAGAGATGACATTTTAGAAACAATTGTAATCTATATCCCTATATCGACAGCTATCGACGTTTCCACGCAGTATATTAACCATAGAAGTGGCACAAACCGAAGGATACAAGAAGCGTGGGCCTTGGGATACGTATAAACACCTCCGCACATACAGTGTGTTTCGTCTTAAGTGTTCTTTTACTTTGGGCAATTTTGAATCAACTTCCTCTTGGAGAATACAACATGAGCAATCACTCTATGTTTTGTTACTTTGTCTTGTCCATAATTTTCGGAAAGTTATTATTTGACTTGCAATCGAAAATCTACGAGTTCTTCAATCTCGGTTCTTTTTTTGTACAAAAGAAAAATCGACTTGATATCACCAAGAGATCTGCATTTCTTGAAAAAAATCCTTTAAAGAGACGCGAAACTAGCATAGGGAATCATTCTACACATTCTTCATTCATAGGAATCTTCTCATGCTAGCGCTCGATGCTCATTTTTAGCGTCATGACCTTTGTGAACCTTGGCACTTTTTATAAATTAAATTTTTTATACAAAAAATGATAGCATTTCGTTTGTATAGTTGTTTGTTGTAACAATAGTTTCGTTTGTAGTTTCATATAATAAATAATAAAATTAATTTTTCATATAATAAAAAATATAAAATTAAAAAATGACTCACCCGACTTTAAGATAAAAAAAAATTGTTAATATATCTTGATTCAGAATCATTTGCAGTTGTTTGTTGTGATTTTTCGATCGTTTGTAGTTGCACAAATGATTCTGAATCAAGATATATCAACAATTTTATTTTATCTTAAAGTCGGGTGACAATCATTTTAAAAAAATTTTATTTTTTATTATATGAAACGACAAACGAAACTATTGTTACTATAAACGAAATGTTATCTCTTTTTTATAAAAAAAAATTGGCAAAGTCACTTTCTTATAAAATTATTTAATTTATAAAAAGTCGGGTGCCAGGTTCACAAAGGTAGCGTCATGTTATCAAAATTGACATTCGATATATTCATCAATTTTGATCACGTTATCTATTTAGCGCTAAAAATGAATGTCAGCATGAAATGATTCGAATCTAAGCACATGTTATTTCAATCTTATCACATTAAGACAGACTCTCTCTCTCTCTCTCTCTCTCTCTCTCTCTCCTCTCTCTCTCTCCCCCCTCCCGGCTCTCTCTCCGTGACCCAGGCGAGTCCGGCAACTGATTTGGGGGCAGCGGGCGAATATATCGATTCGTTATTTTGTGGGCAGTCCATCCGCTGTGTCATTCCACCTACCTTATCCCCAGAGTCCTCGAAAACGGCCCTTTTTAATGATATTATCGCGCGTGATTTATTTTGAGAAAGCTAAAACTTTTAAAATGACAATAATGCGATTGTCCTTCCTGCATTAAAAGCAATCGTTGTCGAATTACGAGTCAAAACTAAATTTTGTTTTTCGTGGCCAGTGTTCTTTTTTTTCGTCTTAAGTATATGTAGTAAAATCAATATTTAATTTTTTCATAAATGTGCCGGTATTAAACTAAACGAAAGTCCATATAGCGCAGTAAAACGTAAAAATATTAATTAAGATTCTTGTAATCTACAAAGTTATCGTCAGAAAGAATGTAACATTACATCGATTTAAATGGAAACATCTTTACCTAATATTGATAATGTTTATGGTCTCACATAGTATAGTTTCACACAATATGTACATATATCTAGCAATTTAAATTACATAACACATTAAATTACACATTAACAAAAATATGAATTTACAATAGCAATTTATATATGCAAGTAATTACATTAAATACTTGTTATTACATTAGACATTAATTAGATTATCAGATATTACATTAAACATCTCTATATTTTTACAAGCATAATGATATTTTCATTATCGGACGGTACATATCGTCAGCGATGTAACATTGCCCTAATGTTTAGGACAAAAAATCGGTTGCGTTTATTTAAAACTAATTTTTATGAGTACAAAATCTGTACTTAGAGGTACTATATTTATTTCTAATCTGTACATTTATACGATCACGACCATGTATATAATTCGTTAAAAAACTTGAGACTATCTAAAACTCCTATTCTAGTCGGGTCAGAATTACAAAAGTGGTTCAATAATTCTTCGTTGAACCCACAATCGCTTAAATTTTCTTGCCCAAAAACATTAGACGATACTTTCGTGATCCTGTCCTCATTTCCTCTCGTGACAATCGTGTGGCCTATAGAAGTATGAGAGTTACATTTTTGGCTCATAAAATTTTATTGATTATTATGCGTGTCCATACCATGTCTTGCTGTGGAAAATGAAATTGTTGAGGCCAATTGCGCGCAGCTTACCGAATACTGCTCTAATTGACTGGATTTCATCAAATGGCAAAGAGAAGGCAATACATGAGGCAAAAGAGGTCCTCTCAATTCGAGAGAATAATATCTATCGTTATTATCATGCACTATGCTTTCTCGAACCTTTGTCATTAAAAAAGAAAGAAAGCAACAGTTATGGTATAAAATAAAAATTCTACAACAGAAATGAATTGTATTCTGTTAATTATGCGATACCTTGAGCGGCTTTAATGTAGCACCATGGAAAGCTGTCGGAGCCAAAAGCGTAGGAGGTACACCCGCTAACGCACCAGTCGCCGCGATAGCTGATTTAAAATTAATTAAAAAATTAAACAACGCTTGCGTCTCCACACCTCTTACGAATACAAGGGATTGTTTCAAATTATCTACTTCGCTTTCTTTTTCCAAAGTCATTCTCGCCTAAAATGAGTCCAAATATGAACATAAATTAAGAATGCACAATATTTATGCGTACCTGTGAGTGATTAATTTTTTTTATTTCTGAATTTTCTACTCCAAGACTTTCGAGCCATTCGTCTTGAGTTTCATCATCATCTTCTTCTTTTTCTTTCTCATAATAGTCACTCTCGTATTGACAATCCTTAGTAGACGCAACATCTACAGTTTTAGAGTTAGAATCTGTTGTGTCAGATCGTCTTTTAGAATCTTCCCTTAGAGGCATAGAATATTCTATTTCTAAAACATATTGAAAGAGACACGATTAATATTTTAAACTTTAATATTTTAAAATCTATTTTTATTTTTATTTCGTAATGTAATTATGTTTCATTAACTTCAGATCTAATTTTAATAGAACCATGTAACAAAAAATTTTTTAATTCAATTCGAGGGCATTTTAATAAATAATTTACAAATCAACTAAACAATTCATTTTTTCAAAATTTTAACTATATTTTTAACATATATATTATTATGCACATCTGTTCTCAAATGATGTCGGCAAAATTAAATAATTTCAATGGATAATGCCATCATTTCGGTAAAAGTTCGATATTTCGAATAATACAATTAAATAAATTTATTTCAGATATAATTGCGCGTCGATAACTTTCGGACTTTCAACACAATCAGGGGGATTAGTAGCGTTTCAGACTTTATTGAATTGTATTGAATTTTTGAAAGTCCGAAAGTTATCGGCGCACAATCATATCTGAAATAAATTTATTTAATTGTATTATTCAACTAACTTTGACCGAAATGATGACATTTTCTGTCATATTTAATGTATTCATATTTATGGTCATTCTAAAGAATATATATACGTGTTTCAATGGATAATCTCTTCAAATTTGATGTATATTATAATCTTAGAACATACATAAATGGAAGGGACATTGCCTATACTTCCATGGCTTGCGCTGAAATGCAAAAATCTGTGCGAGAGAGAAAGGTAGTAAGGGATAAATGCGCATGCACAGCACCACGCAGCACCGTCATTTTACACATCTGTATAATGTACGAATGTGTAAAAAACACTAAACCAACTGTACAATTCACACAGATAACGGTGTTGCGCATGCGCATTGCGAACATTTATCCCTTACTACCTTTCTCTCTCACACAGATGTTGGCTTCACGTTCAACGCCCTATTTCTCTTCCAGTAGTATGTTCTAAAATTACAATGTACACAAAGTTTGAAGAGATTAAGATTATTTTTCACCATATAACTAATATTTCATTATTCGTATTGTATTGAACATGTATAGCTGTATTTATATCGTCATCAGACATTTTTTTATTAATAAATAACTAAATGGAATAACTAAATAAAATTTTCTCTACCTTCTTGTTTTAATGACTGTCGGAATCCACGTGTTGTGGGTGTGACAAGTGCATGAATCTCCGACAATCCGCAGATGCCAGCGGCACGAAAGAGCACCGTAAATGTGTTTGCACACACGTAAAAATATGGACATTGCCTTGCTCGCAATAAATGAAATAAAGATCTGAAGCTATCACACCATTCTCGATACAATGCATCTTTCATATTTTGGTTATTTACTGTCAATGCATTATTTGCGAGAGATGCACTCACTTTGTTAGCAGAGCGAGGGAATAATTCTAACCATGGTATAGATGGATGTTGCCATATTAAGCAACACTGATGAAATCTAATAAGAATATTTAACGAGTGTTATTACAGGCCTTACAAAAACAAATAGTAGAATAA